ACTGATCAAGCGATTAAGGAAGGAAACACCCTGGCAAGGAAGGCTACAGCGATGTTAAATGGAATCCTCTGGGACCCTCGGATTTCCAAGGAGAACAAGAGGAGAATTTACGACGTTGTAGTCAAGAGTATTCTTACATATGGATGTGAAGTTTGGCAGCTGAAGGAGCGGACAAAGGGGATGCTAAGAGCAACGGAGATGGATTTCTGGAGGAGGTCTGCTGGAATTTCTAGGAGAGATCGGGTCCGCAATGAAAGAGTGCGTCAGATCATGGGAGTCGAAAATGACATCATATTCGACGTCATGACCAGACAGCTTGTCTGGTATGGTCATGTCAATAGAATGACGGACGAAAGGCTGCCAAAGAAGTTGCTTGATTGGGTTCCTCCTGGAAGGAGACGAAGGGGACGCCCAGTGAAAGGGTGGCGACAGGGGATTTTAGAAGAAATGAGGGTTTGTCAACTCCCTGAAGGGCTTTGGGAGGATAGGGGACTTTGGCGGCTAGGGGTCGCAGAGCGCCAAAGAGCGCTATAAAAGCGACTTTATACATACATACAAGTATGAGGGAATATTTTTTAACAGGAGGCTCGAATGTTAAATCAAATTTTAAGAAGTCGAAAATTTAATCTTGCACAGGGAGCCATTGGACCAATGAGAGTCGAATATTGCAAATTGTCAGTTTTATCCAAACTTCCCGCCAATGCTGAAACGAAACGAACGGAACGGAGTGCTTTATCGATTTCGGGTGCTTGAATGGGGGATTAGCATACCCGCGTTTCACTTAAGGTAAGGAACCTTAGGCGCGTCTTTCCGCGGCGTCATGAGGCGGCAACGCGGCACAGTGCGGCCCTCTGTGGACAAAAATCAAAAATTCACAACTCGAATATTTTTTTTGGAGTTAGTCATCTTAAAGATATTTCTGACTCACAATACTGCTTCATTTCCAAATTTTTCGCTCAAAACTTTTTCCGGTGACAGCCCATAAGCGCAAATTTCCGAAATCGACAGCCCAAATGCGCAAATGCGACAGCCCAAATGCGGAATTATTCATAGCCCATAAGCGCAAATGAAAAAATCGACCAGAATTTCGATACCTATATCGAATGGAGCGTCATTAAAGGGAGGAATAAAAGCAGAAGCGTGAAAATGGCGCAACGTTATTCACCTTTTTTTCCTTGGTAGTTTAGTCCAGAAGAATGCAAATCAGTGAAAAATCGATGATTGATAAGGTTCGGTTGTCAAAAAGTTTCCAGGCTCTGCTTTTGATTTGTGCATGCAAAAAGCGAAACCTGGGATCTCTTCCCCACCCCCCTGCCTTATTTATATTATTTTTCTAAATCGGTCTGAGTTTGTTGAGGTGAGCCTTACACTTTAGCGAAAGTTTGCGTCGAATATATAGATGGAAACTATTTACAAGCGCTTGCCTTGGAATTTCATGCCAACTTTTTTCAAAAACTGAATTGTAGATAATTCATTGCTGACAAGCTCATCGTATGTTTTCAGTAAGAACATTAATTTTTGAGTTTCTTTCTTACATTTAAGAGGTGGGTTTCGGACACTTCGAATTTTAACATAAGTTTCTGCTTGTATATACATCTCTTAAAGTTTCAAGGAAGTAGCAAACGTGAAGGTGTGGCCCATAAAAGTTACTTTTGAAATGATGATGAAATATTTCTGCCCCATTCGTGGTTGTTGGAGAAAGGGCATTGGGAATCTCAGCCCACATTCAACACGAGCTTTCTCCGATTATATCGATGTATCGATCAGGCCGATGCCCCTCGAATTGACAGCCCAAAAGCGCAAATATAGTCCCATTTGCGCTTTTGGGCTGTCGACTTGGAGGATTTGCGCTTATGGGCTTGAACGCTTTTTCCAATTTGGGTAGAGTGGGCGGGAAATGGGTCGAAAAACACTGGCCCGCGGGAAATACACGGGAAAAAGACGTCAACTTCAAACGAAGGTTTCTCTCTTGAAACGCAAAATGCTCTGAGTGGTTGGCATTTTCTTAATACTCAAATATCCAACTTCAATTCAACGCAAAAGATCTTGCGACTTTTTGCGACTATCAGAGATATTTGAAGTTAAAGTTTGGGCGTTTCACGTTGCTTTTACATTGTTAACATGTTGCCAACTTCAAATGAACTTTTCTCGAAAATACGCAAAAAATCCTGAGATATAACATTTTTTATTCCTCGAGTGTTTTACTTTGACAGTGCCACAGAGTTTTCCTATGTCGGTGCTATTATCTTCATTATTTAAAGTTAAGTGTCTGTTACCGATTTTTGTCCGCATCGTCCATAAGGACGCCGCACTGCGCGCTCTGTTGGCGACAGATCGGAGCGTCCTCCACAGAGACAAGAAACCCTCCCCTCCACTGGCCTCCTAGCGACAGGTGGAAGCTTTTACTTTCGGGGTTCCAGCAATTCCTTATGGACATGGACAATTACTAGGGAGCAACAGTCATCGCCCTAGTTTCGGCTGGTGACTTAGGTACCTACATGGTCGATGATGAGCTTCGGATGACGTCATGAGCCAAACAAGTTTCCCAAACTTCGGCTTGTTTGGAAAACGAAACTGCCAACACGTTGTTAAACATCAACCATGTAGGTAAGTCAACAATAGAATGCTGAAGTCCCGAAAGTAAAAGCTTCCACAATGGCCAAGATACTAGTGGAGGGTCTCTTGTCTCTGGTCCTGCATCGGCGTTTTCCGCAGCGTCTATCTACCGCTAAGGTGCCGTTCCCACGCAAAAGCATCAGGTAGATTGGACTACATTTTGCAATTTGGACCTATAAATTCCGGCCCGGTTTAAAAACAACGTATGTACCATTAGTTTCCTTATGCACACAAGTGTTTTTTAATGTTTTTAATAAGAATTTACAGGTCCAAATTGCAAAATGCAGTCCGATTCATCGGCGTCTTTCTGCGGTGTCCAGGCGCTCTGGAAAGACGCGCCTAATAAGGTTCCGTACCTTTACTCGTACGTGCTCCGGAAGCGGTGTGCGAATGTTCCGTGACAAAGTCAATAACATTGCCAGGTTGCGTTATGAACCGAATAAAAAAAAGCCACGCCATCTTAGCAGTAACTGAATTCGAAAAAAAAATACCATTGTTGCGAGCTGTCCCGAGCTGTTACGGCGAACAAAATATGTTTCGACTAATGAAAGTTGTTCTCATTTATTCCAGATGATGAGTACCAGTACCCCATTAGAAAACAAGCGGTATGGCCGCGGACTGCTGCCTGGAGTAAATTTGGACAATGCATTTGCCAACACCATTCGCGGCGGCGATTATGAGTTAACCCACACTCAGCATGTGACAATCTCGCCATCGCAACATTCCAAATTTAATAACTCTAAAGGTGGCATATATAACGTGTTGTGTGAGTATAAACATGATGAAATCGCACCTTTAGAACGTTTTCTTTTAGGTAAAAGCCATTTTAAAAACACCGAGACTATTTCTTTTATCTGATTTCCCAATTTCACATGTAAGTGTAAAATATTTAGAGCCTTGTGTGAGCCGTTTACGTATTACCGGAGAAACGAGAGGGGGGAGGGGGGAGCTGAGCGCCCCTTACGGGATCCAATTTAAAAAGAAGGGGGTGGGGTCAAGTTTATGCTTACGTAAGCTTCTCATTTTGAAAAACATATACGAAAAGAATATTACGATACATATTTCTGGCTTTAAGAAATCCTGGTGTAAACTTACATTTTGAAACAAAAAAATATCTATCCTTACTTTGAGATATTCTATTGATACTATGCGTTAGTTTGCTGCCGTTTCGCTCCGGCGAGGCGAGTATTAAACATCAATTGATCGGAATAAAATATGCGTGAATTCTAATTTTCTGAAAACTTTTACAAGTGCTGAAACTTATAAGTCGTATTTTAGAAGCCCAGTTGAACACATGTGAGGCATTACGCTGATTACGTTACTTAAAATAAATTTTAAAATCTTAAATACTTCGTTTTTGGATCGGATGGAAAAAATTTAGGGAGCATCGCGGTCCATTTTCCAAAGTTGCCCAAAGTGGATCACCCTGGCCGCATTATGCCGTACGCAGCAGCGCGCGCGCGTGGCGCCCCGGCGCCTACGAATCGGCTCTGCTGTGACCCCCTGCCCCCCCTCCCTGACGTGCTACCGGGCCGATTTTCATGATTTTTACGGCTATCGACAGGCAACTGTCTTTAGATGATCCCGCTCTATTCAGATTTTTGAAATATTGCCCAGGTTTTTGTACACTTACGCACTGGAAAAAAAGAACACATTGGATCTAGAGTCCAGCCTCTGGAAAACATTGACAACAAAAAGGACCCTTGATTCGATCAGATTTAAGCTTACATCAAGAACCAAGCCTCTTAATTTGAGCGGATTTCCTTTTGATTTAAGCTTAAATCTGATTGAATCAAGAGTCATTTTCCTTCTCAATGTTTTCAAAAATCTGGACTCTAGTTCCAATGTGTTTTTTATCCAGAGTGATGTGGTAAAATTGCAAATTCTCCCATATAAAGAAATTAAATTATTATTTTTTCTCATAGTTCGTTTGAGCTTTCTACTGGGTCGATTTCCATGATTTTGCGGTTATTGACAGGTGATAGTCTCTAGATATAGCTCGCTGTAATAATTTTGTATGTATTTTGGAAATAGGACCCAGGTTTTATATATGTATAACATTAGACCAGGGAGCTTAGAAAGGGGGCCAAATTTGAAATTTTCGCGAATGAAAATATGGCGGGAATTTCAATTTAAGCGGAAAATTGAACTAAGCGGGAAATATTAAATCTTTGTCTAATTAGTAGGAGGAGGTAAGGGAATTGAATATATCTTCCTTTGCGACAGACTATCCAGAAGGACGAAACGCTCCGTTCCGTTCGTTCCGTTTTGTTTCAGTCTTGGCGTTAAGTTTAAAATAAAAGTCGATTTTTTTTTAATTCGATTCTTATTGGTTCAATCGCTCTTGGCCGTAGGAAGGTCGGACAAAAGAGAGTCGGGTATGAAAATCATTTAATTTTTTTAGTCGTTCTATCGTCAAAGCGGGCCTAAAGAGAGCGTGAAACGTCCTCCGGAGGTTGGGCCGCGTGGCGGTCTAGCATTAATCTTAGGTTTTAAATATATGAGCTCTTTAACATGTTTTCTAATACCATTATGCCTTTTTTCAGCCGAAAACTACAGAAACAACTCGAAAACGAGGAAGGCCATGCAAGAGCTTCAAAGACATGAACCCGAAATATGCAAGGACATTTTTTACACATCAGGTCTTCAATCGCCCCGCTACTTCGTCAACCTCTCTCTCAACCGCAATCTCTTCTCAAATTTCCTCTCGACCAGAAAATAATGATATATTTGCGCATCCAGTCTTCAATAGTAATGTACCTTTTGACTTTGAATTTAATCCAAATGCTCCCTCCACACCAGATTGCACCATGACTTCTCCTCCCCCTGCTTCATCAGTTAGCCAACAAACTTCATCTAACTAATTATTCACCGAGGAAGAAACCAACCCTTTTTCTGACCATGATCCCCCCCTCTCAGAACAGGAAACTAAAACGAAAGCGAACTTGAACATCTCCTCTTTTGACCATCCTTTAATAGAAATTTGTATCAGGCCTCAGGAAGAGGATGGAAGTTTTTCAAACTTAACTCGGGTCCAGGAGAGCAAGGCCGTAGTGGGCAGGTTGAAACATATGTGTTTAAAAAAACGTATGAAGCACAAAGATGTGGGGGAAATCCTGAATGTGCTTCGTTCTGATAGAAATTACCTTGGGATGGTCCCTAAGGATTCCCGCACATTCTTAGGAACCAGTCACAAGAAGGTGAATTTCAGACTTGTAGACTCAGGGAAATATACCCACCTGAGCCTAAGAGAGGGGTTGAAATTATACATTCAAGAGACGTTGAAAAACACCAAAGACCTAGAAAATGTAAAATGCATACGCATATATATTTCTTGCGATGGTTTGCCAATCGGAAAAAGGCATATTTGGCCCATTTTGTGCGGCGTCGATATATATAACGATACCAAATATATGTATGTGTTTCCGGTTGGTGTTTACGAAGGAAAGAAAAATCCAGTGTCCGCAAATGCTTTCTTAGCGGATTTAACGGCGGAATTGAAGGACCTAGTGACGAACGGAATACAGGAAGGTGATGACCATTTTGAGGTAAAAATAAAAGTTTTCATGGCAGACGCACCTGGTAGAGCCTTAATGCAAGGCATTAAGTCCCACTCCGGGTATAGGAGCTGCCCACGCTGCAAAATCGTCGGAACGCCAGTTACTCCCCCTTCTGATGAATCTGAACAGGATGGCTTAAAGCTTCTTAGAGGAAGGACATCAAAAGCACGGATTCAGCCTCGTCCCTCTACACGACCCAACCAGAAGGCAAAGGGGCAGCAAGGCCAAGAAAATGAGCCAAAGAAGAAAAAGAAAAGAGATGTAATCTGTTTCTTGGAGACGGACCCACAAGAACCGCGGACAAATGAAGAAGCTGCAAGCCCCGCCGTCAGAGAAGCTGATTTAGCCAAGCGGGATCCTAAACTTCGCCATTTTATGCAGAGGACACCCCTTGCGGATATTCCAGGCGTCAAATTGGTCTCTCAGTTTCCGATCGATTATATGCACGCGGTACTTTTAGGAGTCGTTAGAACAATGGTTTCATCTTGGATTACGCCGAAGACCCGTGATGCATTAGGAATTTCTCCTAGTGCTGAGGGTATTATCAATTGTGCTCTAGAAAATATAGCCGAAAAAGGTACGCCTTTCAATAACGCGCCCTCAGAGTTGAAAGATAATTGGAAGGCCACGATGTCGAGGCAATTTCTTTTATATTCAGGCCCCGTTGTCCTTAAAAACACGCTACCTGATTATATATACAACAATTTCATGCTTCTTTCCTCTGCCATGCGAATTGCTTTGAGTCCTTCACTATGCAAGACCCATGTGCCTACAATGCGCAGACACCTCAGTCAATTTGTGAAGGGTTATAAGGTAATTTATGGGGATCACAAAATGTCCTTCAATATACATAGTCTCTTACACCTCGCAGACGACGTGGAGATGTACGGCTGCCTCGATAATGTGAGCAGCTTTAACTTTGAGGACTTTTTAGGCCACATTAAACGTACAGTTCTGCATGGCGCGACTCACCCGGCTGCTCAATTGTCAAAAAGAAACAGTGAGGCGAAGAAAAATTCTGTAATATTTTTGAAACAGCGGCAAAAGAAAACATATTTGCTGAAACGTCAAGACAAGAAAAATTTCTGTCTGAACGGTAAAGAGTGGCAACAGTTTAAGGAATGTATGATTGATGGAGTAAAAATGTCAACTTCCTCACCAAACAACATATTCGGTCTTACAACTGGTGATATTATTTCCATTTCAAATATATTACTTACAATAACATCGGATGGAGACATGAAAATCATGCTAGTAGGAAAGAAGTTTGTGGATGCGTCTCCTAGCAATTTTTTCTTTAACGACACGATAGATGAAGCAATTTTTGGAATGATGTCTGTGTCCAAACTAGGAGAGGAAGAAATATGGCCCATAACGGATGTTTCGCAAAAATATTGTCTGTTGCCATATGCTCACCGCCAGATGGCCATTCCTATGTTGCATACAACCTAAGTTTTCTTAGCCCCCCGTTTTCTGTAAGGTCTAATTTCTCCGAAAAGCTTTTCTGAACAGTTCCCACTTCTGGGGAAATTTAAAAAAAAATTCGCATGTGTAGTGCATCGAGTATCGAGTATTTTAAGCTGAAAACCCCTAATACGGCCTTAGAAATATGTAACGTCAGAAACAGCCAATTCTCTAGGAAAATCGTCCCGAAAATATGGTGGGTGATAACCAATTTCTAAGGCTACATTCGGAGTTTTCAGCTTAAAATACTCGAGACTCGATGAACTACACATGGGATTTTTTTTTAAATGTCCTCGGAATATACTTAAGAAACACCCTACCACGGGTCCAGGAAAACTTATAAAAATAAATTGCATGCATTACAAATTTACGTCAAATTTGCTCATTTTCCCGGGAAGTTGAGAGGTGATAGGGAAAAATGAAAGCCAGTGTTGGACTTAATGGCTCAAAATACATAGAAACGGTCCTATCTCATAATTGAGAAAAATGTTACCACCATTCTGCAGGGGAAAACAGTCACAAAAACACCGAAAATGCCCAAAAGTGGCCATTTTCCCGTATAAAAAACAGCTTTCCCAGAAAATTGGAGGAGGGTGATGGAAAAAAACGGAGGTCATATTCGAATCTAGCGCCTCAAAATACACAGAAATCACCTTATCTCTTCCGAAAGACATTTTCCTCCTTCTGTTTGTTAACAGGATGAGTTACCACATCTGCAGTCAATTTCTCCTTCGCTTTATTTTCAAAATGGATTTGTATACTATTTTTTTAAATCAGCCCTGAATTTGGGCATCCTGTATCTGGTTTGTTTTTTATTCATTTGCCTGATATTCTCTCATCCAACAATGTATTATCATTAGAATGTTACTAACACAATCATATATTGTTTGAAACTAAATCAATGAAAACTTATACCTCCTTCATAGAGGAGGGCGAAAAGGGGGGGGGGGAATCACATAGCAAGCAATATACGATTATCCTCCGAGTCATTATTCACATCTCAATGTGCATTTATATTCGATGGTCTACACAAAATTTAGCAGGAAAATGATTAAACTTATACTTTCTTGATAACTTGAGTGTCTTCTCGCCGTGAACTACAGTGTCCGATCCAGCTCAACAGAACCACACTTTCAAGGGTAAAGTTTATTCGTCAAGGAGGTAGCAAAATTCGTCACAATTATTCCGCACCGAAAAAAGGTAGATAAATATCTAAATTGCCAAATTCTGGCTCACAACTAGCACGCCAACTGAAGGGTAACTTCCACTTCAATTTATTAATATCACGTTACGGCAACGGGAATTTTTTTGCAATGAATTTCAACATATTTTTGTTAAAATATTGTTTCGAAATTGTATGTCTTACATTATTGCTAAATAATATTATGCTCTTTCGTTTAATTTAGTAGGTACTTCAGCTGTAAATATATGTTAGAGATTGGTTTTTCCTCGAAATTTAATTGAAAGAATTAATTAGTGGACTTACGGACAAACCCAATATCAGAGTCTCAACATTACTCCAACAGTCTGATAAGTCCCGTTGAAACTGGTAGAAACTTGGTTTAAAGATTATTTCTTTAAACCAGACTTAAAACTGAATACGAAAGCATTCTCTCACTTTCTACAACGCTGATTGCAACTTCTAAAGTTGCATGTGTTCCGCGATCACACGCGTCGGATGTAACCCGTTACGTTGTGGTCTTTGACCTCTAAAGTGACTAATTTTGTACCTATTATATACAATAAAAGATTCTAATGAGAAAATGACACCCCCATACTGTTTGCTTCAACTTGTTAGAATTATTTATAATTTTTATCTCCCCAAAGTAGAATACTTTTCGAAGCATTGTCTGCAAGTAAATTGCGGAGTCTTTTGGCGTCCCGGCCGTCACAAATTTTTTCCCTGAATTTTCATGCATCAAAATTGCTCAGTATTGAGAAAGATGGAGTCAAAATTGAAGCAATATCTGACCACTTTCTGTTTTAGGTTTATTACTTAAAATATTTCTTTTATAGAAGTGATAGAAAATGTATTTTATTTTGGTAAGTTGTAAATTTTGAAGAAGAGGGAGTGGCTTCATTTTTGAGTGTATGGTTTTGAGCCCAGATATAAGTTTCTTGAGAGGAAAAACGAAGGAAAAAGAATAGAAAAAATGACAAGCAGGTATCTGCTCTCACAAATTTTAAAGCTATGCATTGTACTGCCGTGCTAAAGAAGAACGCCGTATGAACATTCGAGAGTTGCCAAATTTCCCCGAATAAAACATGTATTTTTGAGGAATTTTAAGCATATTTTTCCTTAAAATTTTCAGATGTTTTAGACGAAATTGCGGACAAAATTGTCTAAAAAATTGGAAGGAAAATGTTGGCAACTTTCCCAATAAATTCGTACTGAATCGAAGGAAATTTGGCAACGTCTGAAAGTTCATACGGCGTTCTTCCTTAGCACGGCAGTGTAGGCATCATTTCTCTTGATAAACTTTTTGTTTCCTTTCATTTGCATGAGCTACGCCAAAAGACGACTTTAACGCCTTTAAGATTTGCAGAAATTTTGGGATGATTTACTTATCTCTTATAACTCTTCTCTCGAAATGATGTCTATGCCGGAATATATGAAGCGAAAAGCTTTTAACTGCGCATATTTCTTAGAATTAAAGAATGTAATCATAGCTTATTTACATACATATGGGGATATTGTTTCAAGCCCGAATACTATGTTTTTGAAATAAAATAATATATACTCGGATATTGTAAAGCTTTACATTTTAGACAAATCTCGTCCTCACGACTCATGTTCTTGTGGTAGCATGTCCCGCTTCTTTCATACCCGCAATATTTAATTCATCCTTAAATTACGTCACGCAGTAAAGGGGAGGGGGTTCCGTTAAGGTGGTTACATTTCGGCAGTTTTGGACAAACTCAGATTTTTTTTTTTTTATTTTTTTTTTTTTTTTTTTTTTTTTTTTTTTTTTTTTTTTTTTTTTTTGTAGAGAATACGAGTTAAGAAATGCCTGAATTGAATGAGGAAAACATTTTAAGCCGAAATTTTCACTTCTACTCGGCGCGGCGCGCCTAGGCCATTTGCATCTGAATTCAATATCGCATTCGAATAATTGCCTTCAATATCGAGCAGTGCGGAGCCTCGATGTACGTGGGTTCATACTAAACTCCACTAATTGAAACACCTAATAAAAAAAATTCGTCCGTTTGGTTGTACATATTTTGTTCACCGATTGCTCCGTTCACCGATCAAGATCACTCTCCGCCTCCTAAAGTCGATATATTTGCATAGTTTTAAATGAAGTCCCTTTTGCCCATTTAAAACTATGCAAATATATCGATCTTGCTGAGCCTTGGTTCACCGAACAAGATCACCGACCGGCTCCCAGAATCGATATATTTGCATAGTTTTAAATGGGGTCCCTTTTGCCCATTTAAAACTATGCAAATATACCGATCTCTCAGAGCATCGGTTCACCGATCAAGATCACGACCCGTCTCCCAGATCGAATAATTTGCATAGTTTTAAATGGGGTCCCTTTTGCTCATTTAAAACTATGCAAATATATCAATCCCTCAGAGCATCGGTTCACCGATCAATATCAACACCCTTCTCCCAGAATCGATATATTTGCATACTTTTAAGTGGGGTCCCTTTTGCCCATTTAAAACTATATAAATATATCGATCTCTCTGAGCCTCGGTTCGCGAACACGGCAAGAACCACATGTTTCGAAGGCCATTTTGAATTTCAACATACACACACTCACATGACACCAAACAATACATTATGTCATCTCTAATCACAAACCGTTTTGGTGAACCAACAATAATCATACTAATTTAATAATTAAGAGGAACTAGCTCTACTTATGACACAGGCCCCGTCGTGCATGTATTCCTCTGAGTCTCAGGGCCACGTCCCATGAAGAAACCTGGAGCTTCTTAAGGTGATTCGATGGACGCCATATTTTGTGTCAGAACGGCATGCGATATATCGCATCAATTGGTTCCATTTTTTCAGATACACGTCATTTTTCTCCAATTTTGAGATCGCAATTCTGTTGTCAGGGGACTAAAACACTCACTTACCAATTTTAACAAAGAAATTCAACGTAATAAAGGCGTGGTTTTTTACAGAGAAAACATCGCATTCGAGTGCAGTTTCGATATCAGTATCGAGTGCGATGTTTTCTCTCTAAAAAAACCACGCCTTTATTACGTTAAATTTCTTTGTTAAAATTGGTAAAGTGAGTGCTTTAGTCTCCTGACAACAGAATTGCGATCTCAAAATTGGAGAAAAATGACGAGTATCAGAAAAAATGGAACCAATGGATGCGATATATCGCATATCGTTCTGACACAAAATATGGCGTCCATCGAATCACCTTAATTTTAAAACGTCCCTTCGATGGATAAACCATTGCCCTGAAGCAAATTTTATGTTATAAATATGGAAAAGTAAGTGTTTTATTATGTTAACAGGTAAGGAGAGTGAGAATGAAAAGTGTTAGTTTGATGCTCACATCGTGAACTGCAGCGCCTTTTTGTTTCTTTGAAAAACAAAGAAAAAACATAAGACTAGCGAATGATGGTCTAATGTATGCTCGTTAACGCGCCGCCGCAACCTACCTGTTTTGCTACTTTCTTTTATGCTGGGACCGGCTCCTTGTCGAAGGTTTACATCCCCTTCATTGAACGCGTCAACTGCATCGGAAACTCTCGCGGTGCATCTCTGGCGGTCTTTCAACTTCGACCGAAACTAGGGCATTACTGAAGACGATTCGTTCAAGCCAATTAATGCTTTTCAAAAGGTTTAGGAGCTCCTGAGTCTTTCGCTATCCTAACAATGAGTGCCATGTTTGAAGATGTCTCAACCTTGGGGTTCTATGCTACACATCGACAATGGTGCAAACCTTACCCAGTCGAATTCAACACCTGTTCAACAATAATAATCGGCTCGACCTCAACGGGCGTGCACCCTTTTTTCTGATTACTGCATGAGGACTGGAAGCTTTAATTACACGAATTGGTGGATTTGATTTATTTGTGACATACTCAACAGATTTTTTATTGATTGCATAAACAGATGGTAAAATATTTCACATTTCCCAGGGATCCACCAATTTTTAGCACAAATTAGGTAATTACGTCATAGGTACATTCTTCATTTCACCCCTGATATGAGTAATATCAAATCATTCCACTTTCATCATTCCAATATCGAGGGCATTGGCGTTAGGTCGTCGCAGAACTCGAAGCTGCGCTGTAAATGTGCCTGTCATGTATCTATAGTCCACGCCACGAAAAGTGGCGGGTGAGGGGCGGAGACAGTCGGCCGGTCTAGTCTATCGTTGAAGGGTTGAAACGCAGGTATTGGCCCGGTGGTTACCCCGTTTCAACTACGGGCCAATACCTGCGCTTCAACCCTTCAACGATAGACTAGACCGGCCGACTGTCTCCGCCCCTCACCCGCCACTTTTCGTGGCGTGGACAGGTTTCTAACAGTAATATTTGGACGTATTTCTACCAAACAGATCTATGTGGAGGTGAGAAATATGGGGTTTGCTCGTTAGTTCTCTGGCCGTAAGAGTGAAAAAGAATAATAAAGCGCCAGTGACGTCAGCGGCAACGAAGCCGCCCGCCTCCGCCGCTCCCGTCCGCCCGCCTCCGCATAAACTCATGAGCCCTGTGCACAACGCTCTCTTGCCATGCCCGCGGCTCATGACTCCCGCACTCAGTTGGCACATAGGTCTGTTTGATAGAATGTACAATCCCGTTTTGCCAATTCTTCAAAAGGAATCACGTCCACTTTTACATTGCTTCTTATGCAGCTTCCACGAGCACACCCCATATTTCTCACCTACTCATAGGTCTGTTTGGTAGAAATACGTCCATTCATGAATGGCCACTTTGGACCCAAAATGTCATCTGCCAAAACCCCGAAATAGAGACGGGGACCTTTTCACCAATTATCCTGTCTTGAAATTAAGTTCCGCATTTTTGGAGGCAGGGAATCAAATAATGCGTAATAAATTGCCATGCTGCGGGGTGCAAGGGAGGGGAAGGGGGCGCAACTTGAAGTCACGTGTAGAAATTAGCGGAAAACAGACCGTTTTTTTAGGGGGCACGTAGAGAATTTTTGGGAAATAGCTCCACATTGTCGAGGAGAGTAGAATCAAATAAATTTTGCTCTACCATGTCTCCCGACTTTTTATCCCTTCAGAATGGAAAAATCTGACCTTTTCTTTTTTTAAATTTGTTGAAAATATTACGCTTAATCAGATTGTATCATTGTTTTAGCCAGTTTTTGCCATTTAATATCTGAATTTTGGCCCGAAACAGCTGAAATGTCCTGTACTGTAGCCTGTCTCCGATTCAAGTGCGCAACTTTAACGCTTCATAACCGTTATCTTGCATCTAAATACTTCCACTTCTGCTGTAAATCCACACTCAACTAGTACATAACTTATTATTTTCAGTTTTATTCATCCAAATAAGTGAAAATATTGACCGTTACTGCATCAAGCAGCCGTGTCTCCGGGATTCGCGTCCTGCACCGTAGCCCCCTGTTTTCAGCATCATTTCGTCCGCTAGAGTGCAGCACTGAAGAGCTTTGTTTATTTTTTTGTGTGTTTTCGTGACTATCACATGCTGAGGTCGAGCAGAGGAAAATAAACCGCAATGCAAAAGTAAATTTTGACCGTTTTTTAAGAGTTTCTAGGTTTAATGACCATCTAGAATGTCCTTACTGTATACCCACCTTTATAATGCATAAATCACTTCAAACTTTCGAATTTTGGTATGTTTTGATACGCTCTGATATCCTAAACTTAAATCCAGAATTTCAACCGCATGCGTGAATATGCCCGAGCACCGTTGCCAATAATCACACGATTTGTTCGCACCGTAGCCGTCCGTACCGTAGCCCACTCGCGCGATGCGGCCGGATCTACGATACGGACAAAATGAGAAAGTCATCCAAAAATCGGTGCGCTGTTTGATAGATCAGCCTTTTTTACTTTATTTTATTTATCACCAAAATATGGAATTTAAAAAAAAAAGAGACATATTTTTTTTAGTACAACTTATAAGAAGGAGGCTTTTTTTTTGATGATTGCATATGAGGATCGCCATCATTTCATTTTTTTCATTTTTTTCTTTTAGGACTTTGAGTCCTCTTTTTAGTCTGGACTTCATAGCAATTTATTCGTTTAATTTTTATTCGTTAATATTCAACTTATTTTTCTTATTGTCCTTTAAATATT